GATTCCCCAATATCTCAAACATGTTTTGAATGAATGACCAGCTTTTCTAACATGAACATTTTGGTGTTATTGGCATTCTTTGGTCTGGTGACACACAAGGAAGATGTGGACTACACGTAACCAACTCTGAGCCCAACATATCTGAAAATTGGCTTGCTAGTGACCAGCTAGCTACAATTAAGATGGCAGACCCCCTTGTGTGAATGTGATTAGATTGCAATAATGCTTCTTAGATGTATATGGCTATCATTTCACCAATTAGTCACAATCTGTATGGTCATACAAAACAATGCCTCAGTTGCTAACTAAAATTACGTAAGTACTTTCCTAAGTCAAATGCACAAACTAAACTCACAAATATCCATAAAGTTACTCAAAACACAAACTAAAGATAACTGACTATAGATGGTGTTAAGGAAGTCCTATTCCTGAAACCCTTTTTAATCACTGAATCATTCTTGGAGATGAGTGGGAATGTGGTCTGTGATGATGAAGACTTCCAGGCAGACTAGGCAATGGTGTATGGCAGGAGCAATGATTGGCAGAGTAAGACAGACCTGACAAGAGCTGTCACACAGAAGTAGAACTAAACAGAATCATGCTTCTCTGTGTAAGGATTTTACTCTCCCTGCACATCTCCTCCCATCCTCTCAATTTCAGAATTTTCCATTAAAACATAGTAGCAGCAGCAGCTTCAAGTCCAGTAGCTACATTCCTTCCTCAAATAGCACTTACTAAGACCCAAGTAAATGCCTAACACCCCCCCACCAGCCTTTTAGGACTTAGGTTTCACTATGTTGCCCAGGCTGGCCTAGAACTCCTGGGCTCAAGCAATTCTCTTGCCTGTCTCCAGACTGACTACCTGTGATTACAGGCATGTGGCACAGCACCCAGCTGATACAGTTGCTTTTAAATTGGTCTGCTACACTTCGCCCCCACCTTCACTTTTTGTGGTAGTGGTAATCAAACCCAGGGCCTTGGTGATGCTAGGCAAGCACTCTAGCACCGTGTTACATCTCTGGGTCAGCAACTTGGTAATTTTAATGTGAGAGTATTTTCACCCAATCTAAAAGTTAGACAATTAGACTTTAGCATATTTCCCCTCCAAAAAATGAGTAATGTATCCATCTTGATCATTATTCCAGTTGAGAAGAGAAAAATGGCAATGCCCATTGTGCACTTGGGAATTAAAAGGGAAAACAGCCATCTTGATTCAGTGTCTTCCTGATTACAGATACTCAACTGACCCAATTCTGACAGCTGTTTTAGAACCACTTGTAAAAAATGCTTCTTTATAAAACCAATAAACAACTTAGGGCAAGTCAGGACACACAACATTGTGCTTTCAATTAACAATTAACAATTGCTGAACCTGTCCAATGTCTTTTCCCTCTGGCTCTGGACGCCCTTGGAGCCAGGCTAGCTCATAAGTCCTCAGAGGACTGCAAGGGCTTAGTCTCACAAGGTAACTTATTGACTGCAGGGGTTTTCTTGGAAGCTCATCTTGAGTCCACAAATAATTTTTTTTTAATTTCATTAAAGTAGCTACTGAGAGCATATTCCTTACATGAAGCCTTCAAGAGTAGTGTAAGAACATTTCCAAAGCTCCTGTACATGTTTTTTTTTTTACTTTTTCTTTTTAAATGTGATTGTTCAACCAAATGAAGATACATATGCTCTTTATATGTTATATTGCTTAATTGCTTGATTCCACTGTGTAGAAGACAGCCAATAGGGTGTGTTTATAACCATACTGCATGTGGTTACATAACATTAGGGCTGGGATGTGGCAATGTAGCTGGTAACAACCTCTGCAGATGCTGCCCCTTGGTTACTTGGCTGTCAAAGGCCAGTGTTCAGAAGTTATACATTTACTTCAAACTGTATCATAAATAAAAAAGAATTTTCTGTGGCTAAAAGAACTTCACATAGAGAAATTTTCTGATTTATTACCTTATCTCCTTAAATAAAACTAAATAAGTAAACTCTCTCCTCTTAGGTTTGGGTATCAGAAGGATAAAGCCAGAAAGAAAAACCTCTTTGAAGAGTGACCCCTGAAAAACAGGTTCTGCATTTGTCATTGTCAAACACACAGTAGCCTCTCATTTAGCTCCGTTCAACAAGAATATAGTTTGTGCCCTGACATTTCCCTAAAAATGGCAAGTCTCATTTATCACAACGGAAGTTTTTAAGCTTCATAACCACCGTTGCAAAGGTGAGCTGAGATTTTTAAGAATGGCTTTGCTGAGCAATGTTATTTCTTCACGAAAACTCATAACTTGACTTTTCAAACTTGTATCCCTCCACATCCTCTTGCTATCTCAATAAAACCTGACAAAAAAAAAAAAGCAGGTTCTGCTCTGATGAGCCTGGAATGCAGAGATCCACAAACATCTGCCCCTGAGTGATAGCCTAGAGATAATATGGTTGACCTCAGCCTGAAATTGAATTTCATCTTCCAGCTCTCCCCAGAACCTTCAGGGCTTAATGAGTTTCCAGGTTAATAACAATCATAATAACCACTCCACAAGCATTCCTGGATGCAAGAGAGTACTTTCAACTGGCCTCAGGGATGAAGAAATGAAGGGACAGATGATCAGACCTTTGATTCCTTTCTCTTTGGCATAATAAATAAGCTTTTATTTCATTAAAAAAGGAAAAATGCTTAGAATTAAGAAATGCTTAATTGAATTAAGGATCCAGGTGGGTTAAGAAGAACTGAAATAAGAATGTATAAAGAATGATCGAGCCTGGTGTGGTGATACTCACTTGCAATCCCAGCACTCAGGAAGCTGAGGCAGGAGGATCAGGAGTTTAAAGCCAGCCTATGCTACATAGCAAAACCCTGCCCTAAAAAACAAAACAAAAAAAGACATTATTTGAAGGTCTATCCAAAAAAACACATAAAAAGACAACATTTGGAAATCTAACCATATCCAAGTGTTTTAGACAGGAAACTCCTGGAAGGCAGAGAATGAGTTTGTAGCACTATGGCTTATACCTGTTTAAAGATGAAGACCCAGGATAGCATAAAAAAATTAAATTAAAATAAAATAAAGATGAAGACCTCCAGGGAAGAGATGCTGACCTAGTGTGGCCTATTATCTCCAAGGATCACTAGAATGCCTGTCAACTACTAAAATTACATGAACAAAGCCACAGTCTACAAAAGGCCCACCTTCTGAGACATATTCCCTGCTATCAATTTCCCCCCTCAATGAGACAAGCAACCATGTTCCTACCGGTGCCTCCACCCAGATTACTTCTTGACAAAATGGGATAAAGTCATGCTTTCTGCCTAAGATGCTCAAACATAACACACAGCAGAAAATTCTTCTGGATCCTGAACTCTGCCTTTGCTGTGTGACGACCCACGGGTTAAATGTGATACCTTTTGTAATATGCTTAAGACAACAGAAATCTGAACCAGCAAATATAGCAAAGGCCACAGCACAAAATTTATTGGGATTATTTACTAAATAATGCAAACACATTCAACACCACTGAATAGAAATTTTAATTTTAAAAACATCGCAAGGCTCAAATTAGGGTCTTTCAAGAAACTTAAAAACTTCTTAGTAACCGTGTTGTTGTTGAGACAGGATCTTGCTATGTAGCCCCGGCTGGCCTTGAACTCCAGATCCTCTTGCCATAGCCTTTCTAGTGCTGAGGTTACAGGTGTGCACCACCATGCCCAACTTAGTGACTGAATCTCAACTCCAAAATTTGATACTGCCAACATATTTTTCTACTCAAAAGCAAACAAAAAAGCAAAACTACATAATTTAGTAATTGCCATGTTTCTTGGTTTATGTTCACAAATGCCACAGAAAGATAACAGATGAAAGGAAGTAAGACACCTAGACTGAAGGTTATGCTCCCAAGCATCAGCATAAATATTTAGATTCCCATCTGACAGATTTTTTTTTTTTTTTTGTGGTACTGGGGTTTGAACTCAGGGCCTATACCTTGAGCCACTCCACCAGTCCTTTTTTTGTGAATGGGTTTTTTGAGACAGGGTCTCGTGGAACTATTTGCCTAGGCTGGCTATGAACTGCAATCCTCCTGATCTCTACCTCCTGAGTAGCTAGGATTACAGGCATGAGCCACCAGCGCCCATGACAGATTTCTTTACTTACATAAACAGCAATGCTCTCAAAATCTTAGTCTCTATTCTTGCTTCATACTATAACTGTGCTGATTAAATCACCAACAAAGCCCCTGGTGTTGGATGGACTGAAATATTAGATTAAAAACTCTTTACAATCTCTTCCAAGAAACCAAGACAGTCTCAGTACAAATTACTAAAGATACTTTGCTTTCCATGTTGAAAATTTTCTCATTGGTAGTTGAATTTCATTAACATACATAGTAACAAATGATTCTACTATAATACAAGAACATATATTAACTTGTTCTTACTATTACTAATGACTTTAAATATAAACTCTAATTATACAAAGACAAAATTCCATGCTCAATTTAACCCTGTGTACCAAACAGTGTAAGTGCTGAAAATGAAAACCATTTTAAGAAATCTCCATTAAGAGCCTTGGATACCACATAACTTTAGTGATAGGAGAAAACACATTTCTCAGAGAGAATTTTTAAAGGAATAATGGATCTAAAAGAAAATTTATTTTAGCTGGGCAGTAGTGGTTCACTCCCGTAATTCTAGCTACTTAGGGAGCTGAGTTCTGGAGGATTATGTTTGAGGTCAACCTGGGCAAATAGTTAGAGACCCTCATCTCCAAAATAACCAGAGCAAAATGGACTGAATGTGTAGCTCAAGTGGTAGAGTACCTGTTTTGTAAGCATGAAGCCCTGAGTTCAAACCCTAGTCCCACCAAAAATAAATAAACAAACAAACAAATAAATATTCCTTTGGACACTATAGCCTTTTTAAAAGCTGTGTGTGTCTTTTAACAATTCAATGTGATACCAAAAAAAAAAAAAAAAAAAAAAAGGATTTTCAACAAATGTAGCCAGGAAGAGAATCCAACATTTATAAGATATATTTATTATCTTTCTGACCAAAGTGCAATGATTTTTAAATCTTTTTAAACAAATAACTATGAAAAAAAGTATTCCAGAAAATAAAATACAAATAGGAAATTTAACCATTAGATTGCCTTTTCTAATTTACTCTTGCCCTATATTTAGTCTAGATAACAAAACAAAAAACCTCTTGAAGTTTTACTAAAATGAGACCTGAATCATTTTAACATAAATCTAGCACATGCATTTCAAAGTTTCATTGCTAGAAATTTTTTTTAAGATCAGTTTAATCATGAATAGAGCATAAGGAACACAAGTCACTAGATGTGATCCTTGCCCCACACCCTCAGATTATGTCAGAATATAGCTGACAATTCTGCCAGGTTCTGAACTCCTTGTGCCCCCAACCCAAACTTTGGAAGCTAGAACTATGCCCTGTCACACAACTTTGTACAAGCTGCAATAAATCAAAGCCTAAGTCGTCTTATCTTTCTATAGGAAATGGTCAGTTACTTGATGAATACTAAAACATTGCTAGGAATACATTTTATGAGCTTTTTACTAAATATCTTGTGCAAGAACTTACTACACAAAAAGTTCCTTTGAAATTTGGTCCACAAATTCATTTAACGGGTTGCAAATTTAAAAGCTGCAAGAAAAAGAGGAAGTGGGAATCCCTAACCTTAACATGTTGCAATTAGTAAAGAGACATACATGCATATTTTGCTCACAGAAGGACAAGCTATAAAAGAGACAGTCTTTTTAATAAATCAAAGAACTAGCAGATACCCTTCTTTGTTTTGTGAGCACCATAATAACTAAGATGAAGTTAAACCTGAATTCACTGTCTACTCTTGTGATAAAAATAAAAAAACATAAAAAATTTTCTTACTATATATTTCCTAACATTGAGATGTAATTTTGAAAGATTCAAATTGCCTTAAAAGGGGGTTGTGATAGCAGCTATCAAAGCAATATTCAAGCATGATTTCAAGGATGCTTTCAGATTTAAGGTTAACCTTCTTTGTCAAAAATCTTCATAACATCATCAAAAACCTGCAAAAGAAAAAAAAGACAATCGTTGTAAAAGCAAATACTGTTTAAACACCATATAGCACGTGCCAGTCTCTTGGTTCAATTCCCAGCACCAAAGATAAAATTAAGTACAAAAAATACCAAAACCACCAAAACAAAAATCCATCATAATGCTAAGTTCATGTTAAAGTTAATTTTATATTAACTTTTAAAATGAATCGTTTAAAAAATCAAATTATATTCTTAGTTTAATTTCACTTTATACATAATACAAATAACAAAATTATGATCATGCTGCATTGTATTTTATTAGTGCTTTTTGGATAAAACATACTTTAAAAAAATCATACTTCTTGATAAGCTACTTGGTAATTTGGTAAAACGTAATCTGAAGTGGCTTATCTTCTTAGTTCTGATTCTGAAAGAATGAAGTTTTCTCATGTATTATTTCACCTCTATAGAAGTAGTAATGGATCAAAGACTCACTGAATCTTTTTCCTCTGGACCTTTCTTTTTTGTCTTGTAAGGGGAAGATTCAGAGAATCAAGGAACAGGAAATTAGGTGAATTAAGATTCACTAAAAATATGTGTAGGCTCTGTGAGATCCAACCACAATTTAGAGATCACTGAGTTAATGAAGACAGAAACCTCACACCTGACCTTTAAAGCTACTTGTTCTGTCACAGAAAAAGAAGTAGCCTGGGGCTCTTGAGCTAGATGTCTTGTCAGTCATGCTACAGGTTTTAAATCATGAATATGATATGAATCACTGTACTCAAAATACCAATTTTCCAAGGTTTGAGAAAACCTAAATTCATGTTTTAAAAACATACTCATGTTTTTAAAAATGTTAAACCACCCACTCCTCATGAAGAGTAAGTCTAAAGTTATAAAATCCACTTTAGACCTATTCAAAAAGAAGAAAAACCTCATTTCAAGTTTAGTCTCCAAGCGTTGGGAAAACAAACTTCCCTGTCAAAGCATATATTTTTCTCATGCTTATCCCCAGAGAAGTAATCACATTTTTATTTGACTTTTTTTTCAAAGACAAGCCAGGGACACTTACTTCATCAACAGATTTAGAAGCATCTATTTTCTTAACTTTCCCCATTTCTTCATACAGGTCAATAATTGGCTTGGTTGACTGAAGGTAAGTCTGAATTCTGCAAAGGAAGCAAGTATTTCAAGGTTTTAGGTATCCATCCTTCCCCTCTCCACATTATATTACAGCTCAGAGACAACACAAAGTCAGACCCAATTGACTCCTTCATCATCTCTTTACGTAAGCCACTGTACCTATGTAAGCATAACATGTTTTCCTTCTGGACCAAAATGGGACAGGGATTTAATGTGTCATGGAAGTTCTGCACTGGCATTGAGGTAGTTAAAAGTAAAAACTGAAAAGTACCTCTTTTCCAAGCTTTCTCTGTTGTCATCACTCCTACCACTACTCTTTCCCCTCTCAAGACATCGTTCAATACAGATCTAAATAAAGATAGAGTAAAACGTTATGTAAAAAACAAAGTTATGAATTTGCCATTTACTTAACCTAAAAAGAAAATAAAGTTTAAAGAGACTACTAAAAAAAATCCTACATTAAACCTGATGTGTCTAACTCATTAATCAACATGCAAAATCTTTTTCAATTTAAACATGTGGTACAATTTATATAAATTAGGTTAAATAAGTACAGAGCATAATAATTCATTCATGACCAGTTTTTCCTGTGTGTATTTTTTTTAAACCGCAATAAAAAGAAGATCTGTATGTGTATGTTCCATCTTGGATATATTATTAACTTATTAGGTATGAATTACAACCTCAAACTTTATACCATTTTTGCTTATTTTATGATAATTCCATAAATATTCAAATATTTAAGAGTCAACATATTTGAATAAAGCATCTCTTGTTAAATCATGAATACACATTTCTTAGTTATAAAGCTGTGGTAACAATCTAAAGTTAACTTTGAAAAATAAGTGAAAACATATTTTTAGGGGTTGGAAGAAGAGAGTTACATTTTAAAACAACTTAAAGGCTACAGAAAGTCTCTCCTTAGAGGCACATTTGTAATTCAACCTAAGAATAGCCAACTTCCTTCAAGGCACTACTTCAGATTCTTACTCTTGCAGACTGTTGGCATTAATTTAATGAAATTTATATCACAGCAGCTGTCAAGCAGAGTCAGGTCTTCTAATTAAATGGTTCTGAAAAATTCATTTAGTTATTCAAAGATATGTCTGGGTATGCTGTGAGGAATGCCAGAAAAAAAAAAAAAGAACTCTTTCCTGCTGTTTTTAAGAGCATCTCATTCTTTTGAAGACAATCCACGCTATCCTGTAAGTTTCTTTAAAACAGAAAACTTCCTCAACTTTCCAGAAATGTTTCTTTTCCAATAAACAACATGCTCTCTGAAAATAGTGAAAACTTAACCAAGCAATAGTTCAGCTTCATTACCTAACTTTATTATGCATTCTAATTCTTATTTTTTAAAAAAACCTAATTTTTATTATTTTGAAAATACAGCAATTTTTAAGTTTACAAGGCTGCTGATACCATACAGGTTTTAATGTTCCAAGAGCAAGACTGTGCTTTTCTGTTTACCCAATCTACTAATTAAAAAACAAACAACAAAACTGCTATCTATAGAAAATCACTTTGTTTTTCTCTAATAAGCTTTGTTTTACTCTTAATCAGTTGTTTAAAGTCTAGGTGAGTAGATGAAGATTTTCATTACCTCATTATTGCAGTCAAAAAACAGAACAAAAGATACATCTGCCTTCCCATCCATGGTCTTGTTCCAACCTTGAAGGTTGTCTTGATTTCTCGGAAACCCATCAATCAAAAATTTGTTCTTCTGAGCATTGACAGCCATTGTCTGATCCATTTCCTAAAGGAGAAAAAAGATTCAGATTCAACAGTACATTAACAAAGTACAATTTCTAAAGCAAACATTGAATACATATTGTTTTGTTATTATTCTCTAAACCATAAACAAAGGGTCAGGCATGGTGGTGCACCTTTATAATCCCAGCTAAAATTCAAGATCCTATCTGAAAAATAACTAAAACAGGGCTGGGAGTGTGGCTCAGTGGTTGAGTGCCTGCCTAGTAAGTGCAAGGCCCTGAGTTCAAACCTCAGTACCACCAAAAAGAAAAAGGGAGGGGGGCTGACGTAGTGGCTCAAGTGGTAGAGTGTTGGCTTAGCAAGTATGAGGCTCCGACTTCAAACCCCAGTGCTGCCCAAAAAAAAAAAATCTGGGAGCTGGTGGCTCATGTCTGTAATCCTAGCTACTTAGGAGGCTGAGATCAGAAGGACCACAGTTCAAAGCTACTCTGTACAAATAGTTCTTGAGACTCCCGCTTCCAAAATAACCAGAGCAAAATGGACTGTGACTCAAGCAGTAGAGTGCCTGCTTTCCACGTGTGAGGCCCTGAGTTCAAACCCCAGTTCCAAACAAATGAATCTAATCAAAACAACAATGACAAAAAACATAAGTATGTAAAGAGTGAAGGGTACGTAAGAAAAATAGACCAATAGGAAATGAGCCTATCAATTTGGTTGCATCAAGCTGAATAGACTATGGATATGTGGTCCCCCTTCTCATTTTACACACACACACAATTTTTCCCTGTGGTTCCAAATTTAAAGAATAAGCATATCCTATGGTTTGGATGTTGAATGTCCCCCAAGGTCCATGGGTCCCTCAAGGTCCATGTGCAACTTTAGAGTTGCACTATTGGGAGGTGCTGGGGGCTTTTAGGAGGGGGTCTTGTAGGAGGTCCTGAGGTCATTGGGGGCACACTCCTGCAGGGGACTGTAGGACCCTGGCCTCTTTGGTTTTATCTCTGGCTTCCTGGCCAGGAGGTGAGCAGCTTGCCCCACGAGCTCCTTCTCATTGCCATCCATCATCTCCACCAGAGGCTTAAAACACCTGAGTTTACACTGGAACTCAAAACTAAAAGGCAAAAATAACCTTTTATTTTTCTTTTTTCTTTTTTTTTTTTTTTTTGAGTAAGGCAGGAGAATTTTTTGAGATAGAAAAGTAGCAAAGAGCAGAGCTCCTAGAGCTGGAAGGAGTCCCAAGAGAAATCCAAAAAGGAAAGGTCCAAAATAACCTTTTTTCTTTTAAGTTAATTGTTTCAGAAATTTTGTTATATACACAGAAAGCTAATACAGCACATATTAATTTCACATATAAACATCACAAGATTATAAAAAAATAAGAGGAAAGTAACCATTAACCAAGACCCTATTTTGCCCTCCCTCTGCTATTCCTAAGTCATTCTGCTGTGGTAGAAAGTATGCTGCTAATTTATTTTTTACTTTTTGATACAGAATCTTATCATGCAGCCCAGGCTGGCCTCAAACTTAGATTCCTCTGTCTCAGCCTCTCAAGTGCTGGGATTACAGATGTGTGCCACAATACTTGGCTGAAAGTGCTACAGGTGCTCAACTTTGCTGTAATTTAAGTCCAACAGAAAGTGGAGTCAAGTGTCTCTGGTTCCATCCAGATGCTTATATATTTCTCTTCCATCAGGCTTCAGTTATTTCCTGCTGTTACCAACATTGCAATTCTCCACTGTTTTCTTGTATGTCAAAATTCCTGTTAATGACCATACTCTTAGGGGGTCTACAGAGAAGAGTTACCAAGTAAATGCAAGGTGTCTGTTTTTCAGATGTCACATTGAGGATGGTGATTCATTTCAGGCATCAGGAAAGAAGATACCAAGACTGAGACTATCAACAATGACAATGAGGGACATAAGAGTGTGAGTGTGTGTGTGTGTGTGTGTGTGTAAGAGTGAGAGAGAGAGAGAGAGAGAGAGAGAGAGAAGAAGAAGGAGGAGGAGGAGGAAGAAGAGGAGGAGGAGGAGGAGAGGAGGAGGAGAAGGAAGAGGAAGAAGAAGAGGAGGAGGAAGAGAAAACGATAAAGGTTTACAGGAAAACAAAAAGGAGAAGGGGGGATGGAGAGGGAAGAAGAAACAAAGGGAAGAGAAAATAATGAATGTTGGGAAGGAAGGACAAAGTACACATATATATACATGTTACACTGCAGTGTGGCTGATCCTAAATTAAGGTAGAGAATCCTTGCCACTGTCCAGTTTCTTCCTAGATGAAAGCAGAGTTTCCAGTATTGCCATTCTCAAACACAATACCACCTTCCACAAGCAAGAAATTCAATGCTCTAATTTTTCATTACTTAAACGAAGGCACATTTAATTTCTTCTTTCCTTTCTGGTTGAAACTGGTTGATATGCACACTCCTTACCCTCTTTAATAAACTGATGGTTATCTCAACTGGCACAATCTTTCCATCTTTAATGTACTTTTCAATGAGTTCACCATATTGTGAGTCTGGGTTCTTTCTTTCATCACGAAGAAGCTCTCCTGCAGAAAGGTGTGTGTAGCCATATTTCTGAAAGAAACAACACACAGGAAAAAAAAATCAGAATTCGTTCAACCCACTGGTATGACTAGTCATTTTTTCTTTGTGTTAAATTCTACAATTTTTCTACAATAAATGTGCTTGTATATAAAATAATAAAAATTTAAGAGATTTTTGATAGTCCAGTTTGCTTATTAATAACATCCTTACCCTTCATGTTTGTGCACCATAAAATCATCCCCAAATTTATCTAACCAGTCAAGGCATTAACATCTATTTATATTTTTTCATAAACATGATCAGAATTTGTTATTAATATTGTTCAAACAAATGTCTAACAAAAATCTGTATGACTCAAAATAAAAAATCAAAAGCCTTACCACTGTTGGCTATATCCACATTCTATTTAAAAAAAAAAAAGTCTACTTAGAACTCAGTATGTCTAAACAGAACTCATCACCACTTCCACAAACCTCATTCTCCCATTTTCTTCCCTTAAGTCCTACCTCCATGAAGTCAGCTTTCCTGACATCACTGGAAAGTGCTCACATAATCAAATGTATTTTAGATTATCACTGTCTCTCCGCTTAGACCAGCTTATTGTTATTGTTTGGTGGTACGGGGTGGGGGGGTTGAACTTGTACTTACTAGGCAGACACTCAAATACTCGAGCCACACCTCCAGCCCCTTTTACATTGGTTATCTTTGAGATAGGGTCTCCCTTATGCCTGGGCCTGGCCTGGACTGCGATCCTTCTATTCACATTTTCTGTATAGCTGGGATGACAGATGCATGCCACCTTGTCCAGCTTTTATTGATTGAGACAGGGTCTTGTGAATGTTTTGCCCAGGCTGGCCTTGAACCCAGATCCTCCCAATCTCTGCCTCCTGAGTAGGTAGTATTATACACATGAGTGACTGCACCTGGCTCAGACCAGTATCTTAAAAGTACATTTTCTAACTTTCTATCCACAACAAGAAGTCTCATTTGTGAGTCTGCATGGTGTTACATGCCTGGAATCTCTGTACTCAGGAGACTAAGGCAGGAGGATCATAAGTTCCAAGCCTGTCTGGGTTACATATTGAGACCCTGTCTCACAAAACAAGAACATTGGCCAGGAGCAGTAGTTCATGCCCGTAATCCTGGCTACTTGAGGTTTGAGGACAGTTCATCAAAAAGTTAGCAAGAGTCCATCTCAACAAAAAAAATGTGTGTATGATACTTTGCACTTGTAATCCTAGGCTGGCCAGAGCAAAAACCAAGTCCCTATCTATCTAAAACAAAGAACCTAAAGCAAAAAGGGCAGAAGGTATGGCTCAAGTTGTAGAGCACCTGCCTAGCAAGCACAAGGCTCTGAGTTCAAATGCCAGTGCCGCCAAAAATAAAACAACAAAAACCAGCATACCATGTTACCCCAGCATTAGACTTACATATTTCATGTTTACCTTAATTGAGTCAAGAGGCCATATACAGGCTGGTTCAAGAAGTGGTTCCAGCAGTAAGAGCACCTGCCTAGCAAGCGTTAGGCTCTGAGTTCAAACTCCAATACCACCAAAAAAAAAGAAAAGACCACATAGAGTGACCAACCTATACCATCTGGGTTTGTGTGAGTGTACTTTATGATGTTCCAACAAGAATACATTTTTAAATTTTTTTAACCTTTTCTTTTAATTGTACTGGGTGAGGGTACATTGTGGCATTCACAAAAATTCTTACAATATGTCAAATATATGGTACTTGAGTTCATACCCTCCATCATTCTCCTTCATTCCCCCTCCCACAACAATAAAATTGCCTAACGATGAATTTCAGAACTTACCCCATCACTAAGTGACACGACTTCACAACAAGAATACCTACTTGTTGTCAAGCAATTTTGTTGTTGGGTGAATATCACAGAGCACACTTACTAAAATGGCTACAATGTTACAAGGCAATGTAATCTTATGAGACCAAGTTGTACATGTGGCCTGTCACTGAAATGTTAGTATGCAGTGCATGACAATATATATACATGTATCTTAGTGGTTTTGGTAGAAAAAAAAACAATCAAGGAGGCTTAAGTGAGATAATAGACATGAATACCTTAATGAAAGGTAGGTAGTAAAATATGATGGTGATGATTATTATCATTAAGGATTTACAAATACATATTACATCAGGGTAGAGGGTAACAGTTAAGCTAAGTCATGTAAGACACAATATATTGTACTGCCATTTCACCTTGAATGCAATGAGAAAACAATACAGTCTAAAAATAATTCTGAATAGTGAAAAGCTTCTTCTACAGAACTTACAGGTTCATTTTTATTCAATCAAATCCATTTTAAAAGTTTTAGCTGGGTGTTGGTGGCTCACGCTTATTATCCTAGCTACTCAGGAAGCAGAGATCAGGAGGATAGTGGTTTGAAGCCAGCCCAGGGAAACAGTTTGCAAGACCCTATCTCAAAAAACCCTTCAAAAAACAGGGCTGGTGGAGTGGCTCAAGGTGAAGGCCCTGAGTTCAAGCCCCAGAACTGGAAAAAAAAGGTTTTAAGTTTTTACTCTCAAATATTAGAAATATATTCAATACTCAAGTTACAATAATTATCTCATCCTAAATTCTTAAGAATCCTTCAAAGAGTTTTTAATCTTACCTAAATATACAAAAAAATACTTGATCATGTGTTATCTTTAATTTCAGTGTTAAGATTTGAGGCAGTCTACAAAACTACCCTGTTTTGAAGTGTTTCATGCTGGTATGTTAATACAAGCCTGTAAGTCTAGCTTCTCCAGAGGCTGAGGTATGAGGATCCTGAGTTCAAGGCCAGCCTGGCCTACACAATGAGATCCTGTCTCAAAAAAAAAAGAAAAAGAAAGTATTTCAGCTTACATTGCTCATTTTACAAAAACTAACTCCTTCAATTACCTAGACTATGGTGAACTTTCTTATTTTGGGTTGCAGAAGCCATATAGTCCTTATCCCCTTTCTATGTTCCAAAAATGTTGGTTAAGCTTGTTCTTGCTTACTGTAGTAAGCTAGCAATCAGGTAGTCAGTGAGAGAAAACAAACTCTAAGTAGTTTATTTGCCAAATAAATGTGGGTACAAAGGTGGATGAGAATAAGCAAAAGCCATAGTATCATCCATGTTTATGTCTTATATGTCTGTCCACTAGGCAAGTAATCAAAAGTATACTTAATTATTGTAATTATTTTTTTAAAAAGCTATCATCATTTATAGAAAACAGACATAAATATAAAATTATTCATTTAAGCTATTTTTAAAAATTATTTCATACCATTTATAAATGCCTACTTTGATCACTGGGTAAAGGCAAACTTCTGAATGCTGAGTACAGAAAGGACTTTATGAAAAATGAGGTGTGACCTACTTCCCCACTTACTATGCACAATTTTTAAAAAGCACTTTGCAACTACTGTCCACAAAATTTTATAGCAGCTTCATTTCCCACTGTTTATTTTGGCTCCTACTTGGAAGTCTCTGCTTGCCGGATGCTCTACTCTGGTCTAGTGATTATAGCATATGGTGATATTGAATAAATGCAGAGACAAACAGTACTAAACAATGGCAAGCACTCAGTGAAAACACCAGTGGTACATGCTGCTTCATAATGCTCTGCTGTAGGAACAATGTATACGTTTAGAAGCCCAGCTAGTAATTTAGAAATTAGTATACTCACTGTTTGTTTCCTGACATTGGAGAACTCAAATTTGCAAGCTTTATATTGCATTAAAATGGGGTTTGGGATTATATCATTAAAAAAAAAAGAAAAACTAGTTGTAAACTGTAGATATATGCAAATGATACTTTTAAAGCTAGTTTTATAATCTGTCAAAAAGAAAAAAACGACTTTACCTGCAAAGTCAAAGAAAATAAGGAATGTAAATAAACATGACTATGTCAAACCTACAAATGCATCTTTTGATTCTCATCCATTTCATTTTTTAAAAATTCTCTACCAGTTGCTTTTTAATACTACATTTTACTTAAGGATTTTGCTTACGCTTTCCTTTTACCACAGAGTTTCAACAATAACACAACTCACATACTAGTTATTATAACATTTAAATAATAACTAGACTTTAAGGGGCTATTTTCATGCTGGGAGCATGGCTCAAGTGGTAACAGTGCCTGACTAGCAAGCATGAAGCCCTGAGTTCAAACCCCAGTACCGCAAAAAAAAAAAAAAAAAAAAGACATATTTTAAAAGCATTTTTCTGTCACCAAGTATTCATGGATGCAAGTTCTGAGGAAAGAACTTTTGCCTTTACCAAAGCTTCTTCATATTCTCTGTGACTTCCTAGCAATTAAAAACTAGTGGATCACTTTTGTAGTCTTTAGGGAAATAGTCACAACCATAGCAGCTTATAACTACAATTACAGGCTACTAGTCAACCAAAAAGGTTTCTAGTGACAAATGCCTACACTCAATTCATTGCGAGTAACTGTTTATATTTTTACTTTCATTTCTCCTTTAAGATGCTGAAAAATAGATCTTTTGGTTCATAAGCATGGTGATTGGGTGTTCACACCTTTGTGTGACATATGCTGCCCTCAAACCTTGTTACGATGTAGGTACATTACCCTTCTGACATGAAAAAAAAAATGGTGAAAAATAACCCAACAACCTTTGTGAATCATACACTAAGATTTAGAGGCAGAAAAAGGCACCATGTTCTCAACAAGTACAGAACAACATTCTATTTTACTATAACTAAAAGGTTCATGGTAGAGTGCCAGCCTGTTTTACTGTAACTAGGTAAATACTGTCAGTTCTATGGTATCAACTCAGGCCACTCTCACTGCCTAGCAACTTTGGCTTTCTTTCCCTCCTTCTAAATTTAGATAATGTGGGGCCTGGAAATGTTCCTCAGTGGTAGAGCACTTGCTCTGCATGTACAAGGTCCTGGGTTTAACCTCCAGCACTGCAAAAAATAAAATAAAATAAAAATTGAAAAAAATCAGATAATGTGGTTCGACGTGAACCACATTAAAAACAAAAAACAGAGTTGAAGGTACAAATGATAC